AGGCTGGGATTTGTTATGATTTCAGTTAAGATCCTCTTAGAAGGAAGATAAACCTGCAACTCTTGACTTTCGCTTTCTCCGAGATGGGTCCTTTTGTCTTTGTCTCCTTTTGGCTATTGCTCCAAATCCAGCCGTTCCGGCTTCCTCCCAAAATGTGAAACTTCTCGCTTCCCAAAAAAGATTGCCCGGCAAGCATGTGGCAGCACCAAGTAGCTGGATCTGGGGTGACCTCAGAAACTCCAGGCTGGAAGAGGGCAATGCGCAAACAGCTTCCCTAGTATATAATCCAGTATTTGGTATACAGGTAATCCTCGATTTATGACCACAGTTGAGCCCAACATTTCTGCCTTTAAGTGAGATATTTGTTAGGGAGCGTTGCCCCATTTTAGGACCTTTTTGGTCACAGTCGTTAAGTGAATCCCTGCAGTTGATAAGTTAGTAACACAATTGTTAAAGTGAATCCAGCTTCCCCATTGATTTTGCTTGTCAGAAGGTTGCAAAAGGGGATCACATGACTAACGGTCATAAGTATGAGTCAGTTGCCAAGCATCTGAAGTGTCTGCATTTTGATCATGGGCATCCTACAAAGGTTGTAAGTGTGAAAAACGGTCATGTCACTTTTTTCAGTGCTGTTGTAACTTTGAACGATCACTAAACTGTGGTAAGTCAAGGACTACCTGTAATATGATTCTATATGATAATACCTTCTTGGTTCCTTCCTGCCTTGTCTCTTTACCTACCTCTGTATCTGTCTGCTTCCTGGATTTCACTAGGAGTCAAGCCCTCTTGGAAGGAGATTTTAATTTTACAATGTTTCCTGTCCTGAAACTTAGATATTTCATTTGTCCCAAGTCCGAACTATTCAGTTCATCAGGAATATTTCCCAAATATTCATTTTTTTAGAGCATCAATAAATGTACTATGAATGTATCACAGTTCAAATAATGTTTTTTTTTTTAAAAAAAGACCAGTGTGAGTTTAGCCTTATGGAAAAAGCCAAATCACATTTCTGTATCGTTGCTAAGAAAACAAATGGGCATATCATGGAATTATCAGAACTCGAGCTCAATTTAACAGAAATTGTGGTGAAAAAAATGCTTGCTGGTTGAAAAATAATTGGGAAACAAACTCTTAAGAACATATAAGTAGAAACTGACAGTGTATAAAGAAAATTGTAGCAGTTTGGATGAATTTTTCTGAAGGATTCTCTGGATAGAGCTGTTTAAAAAACAAACCTATATATAGCTATATAACAAATCAAAGAGACAGGGTCTGATAATAGAGAAAAATGAAGTATGGAAACTCTGGAAGAAATAAATTATCATCTATAAATTACCGTATAACTCTGATACCATTTTCACTTCTCTGGATGGTCCATTTTTACTGAATCAGTTTTTCTCCAGAGAGTGGTATATGATATCGTTTCTCCACATGCTATTAAAAAAGCATCACTTGGATAACTTTTCTCTCTGCCACAAATGGTTTTAGTAGTACATTTCTAACGTAATTTTCTTCTCTTCAGATGATTTTCCCAATCCTAGACGATTTCAGATAAAATGTTATTAAGTCATTAGAAGCATTGGAGGTTTGGTACAAT